TAATACACAATTCTTTCGGGGCACCTGGCTGGCTCAGTTGGTGGAGTGTGTAACTCTTGATCTCAGGGTTGCGAGTGTGAGCCCCACACTGGGTGTAGAGATTAAGTTAAAATTTTAAAAAATTTAGAAAAACCCACAATTTTTTAAATGGCACCTGTGCTGTTAAGCACAGGGCCTGGTACACAGCATTCAAGTGTTAGCTGTCACTACGATTTCTTTTAGGGATATGACAGGAAGCTTTTTCAATATGATAATTATTCTCTGAAATGCAAAGATAATACATAACCTAAACATAGTAAAATCTAAACATTCATAATTACAGCATATACTCGCAGTCTATTGGCAGCCAATTCTTCTACAAAGCTGTTACTCTAAGAAATACATAGAGGCTGGCCATCAGGGAAATGTAAATCAAAACTCTAGGACACCACCTCACATCCACCAGGATGGCTAAAACCAAAAAGACAGTGACAATTGTTGACAATAATGTGGACAAACTGGAGCCCTCACCTCTGGCAGGAATGCAAAATGGTAAGTTTGCGTTGGGAAAGTCTGACAGTTCTATGACCCAGCAATTCTGCTGCTAGGTAAACACCCGAGAGAAACGAACACATATGTCCGCATAGACACTTGTACACAGATGTTCACAGCAGCTTTATTCCTAATATTCAAAAAGTGGAAACTAACTTTCTGAATGGAAGTTTAAATGTTCGCCAAACAAGCCAAAGCTCCACCAGCTCCTGAGTGGGTAAGCAGAGCGTGCACGCGTACTATCCATATGTGATACTACGGCACCAGAGAGAGAAACAAAGTTCTGGTACGTGCACCAGCGTAGATGGACCTTGAAACCATTATGTGACATGAAAAGAGCCAGACACAAATCTGTACCTGATCCCGTACAAGATGAAGTGCCCAGAAGCAGAAAGTAGACTGGTGGACGCCTAGGGTGCGGGGTGGGGGAAGGGAATGGAGAGTGATGCTACTGGGCATGGGGTTTCTTTCCAGGGGTGATGAAAATGTTCTGGAGCTAGACAGTGGTGACAGTCACGCAAATGAATATACTAAAAACCACTGAATTATACACCTTAAACAGGTGAATGGTATGGTCTGTGAATTATATCTCAGGGAAGCTGTTAATTAAAGAAAAATATATACAGGAAGAAAAGACTATCCAAATAATAAACTTTCAGAGTAATGAGCAGAACAACTTTCTCTGGAAATCTGAGGGGTATGAGTTTTCTCTAAATAGGATACCATTTCTACAGTCCCAAAGCTTGGCTGGGCATGAGAACATGTGTGGCCGGCCCAGTGCAGGGGGCAGAGATCAAGAGATCTCTCTGATGTCTTCTGACTCCAGCTGGTTGAGACCCAGGGGAAGCTATTTAACCCCTCTGGGCTCTAGGTTCCTTTGTAACACTGACAGGAGAACACCTGTTCTAACTAAGGTCACTGGATTGTTCCAGAGCTCCAGGAAATAAGAGCGATGGTGACATTTACTAAAGCTTAAATTACTGAATTATGACCCAGGGCCTTGCTATTTATATTTTCATCCTGTTTCTTAGAAATCTGCATATGTCCTTGGAGTCTGAAAATAGGCTCAAGTAAATACGCATCACATCAAAAACAAGTCATCAGCAAAGAATGTGTTTAACCCTTGAAAAACTGCAAAAATCTTAATGTATTCAGATGACCAATGTAAAATGCCTTCATTTTAAAATTAGTTTTACAAAATAAATTCAGTGTATATATCATACCATCTAAACAGAACGGTGAACGCAAGGCACAAAAACAGACTCAATGTCAAATGGGCCTAAAGAAATAATATGTGACAGCAGCGCCTGGGTGGCTCAGTGGGTTAAGCCTCTGCCTTCGGCTCAGGTCATGATCCCAGGGTCCTAGGATCAAGCCCCGAGTCCGGCTCTCTGCTCAGCAGGGAGCCTGCTTCCTCCCCACCCCCCCACCCCCGCCTGCCTCTGCCTACTTGTGATCTCTCTGTCAAATAAATAGGTAAAATCTTTAAAAATAATAAGAATAATATGTGACAAAGGGTAATTTGATAAAATAAAAAAATATATAAAGAAAACATACCAAAATACTAAGCTTACATAAAGTTGCAACTTCTCTCATATCCCTAAATGGCTTCAGTAAATACTGGAAGAACATAGTTGCCCCGGTAACTAATTCCTGGTATGCGTCATCTTCCTCTCTATAGACGTTCATCAGTGCTACCATGGTCTGGGCTTTCTCATGCCCCTGAAGAACCTAGAAGACAGTAAATAGAGCTCAAGGAAGGACAGTTATTTATAAGATCAAGCCAAACAAACAAAACCAAAGAAACTTTAATGCCCTGAACTTTAAAATTTGAAATACTGATTAAATATGAAGATGCTATTGTCCTCCGACCAAAAGGCCCCATAAAACAAGAATGGTTAATGAAATCATGCAATATCCACGGTAGAATGTTATTGCTATAATCATTCAATGGCGTGACACCCTTAACAAGCTCCTTTTATAAAGCCATTTTAATTTAAAAAGCTCATTCCATAGGCAGCTGAAGGAGATGTAATTAAGAGTTTGCAACGTGGCTGAATTCCTCTCCCACACCCTTCTTCCTCAAAATAATGCGCAGAAAAATCATCCAGATTAAGAACGACCTATGACGATGGGGCACCTGGGTGGCTCAGTGGGTTAAAGCCTCTGCCTTCGGCTCAGGTCATGATCCCAGGGTCCTGGGATCGAGCCCTGGGATCGAGCCCTGCATCGGGCTCTCTGCTCAGCGGGGAGCCTGCTTCCTCCTCTCTCTCTGCCTGTCTCTCTGCCTACTTGTGATCTCTGTCTGTCAAATAAATAAAATCTTAAAAAAAAAAAAAAAAAAAAAAGAACGACCTATGACGAGAACGAGCAAGCAAGAGGACATGTCCAGGGGGTTAGATCACTAAATTTTGGCCACCGTAGTAAACTGTGGATATGCACGCCGTCTTTTTTCTCCCAAACCCTTTTGTGGACTTGCGTTCCTCCTCCCCTTAAATTCTGTAAGTTTGTAACTCTAAGAATGAATTGTTCGGCTTCCCAAACGACCTCTTTTAAGCTTAAAATTGCACTCCTGTTGCTAGTCCAAATCGGTAAATAAAGCTCACTCCCCTCCGGCTTTCCATCTGACCGAGCCTGCGTCACTTTCCGAACCGTCTCCCCCTGGCCGCTTCAGTGTCTAGAGCAGGGGTCTCCCTTGCTCCCGTCCCCCCACTCGCAGAACCCGGAAGTGTTTACATCTAGTGCTTGTTGTTGTTTCCCACACGCACTACGGCTGTTTCCGGTTCTGTTTCCGCTATTCTCTGGCAAATCCTGTGAGCACAGCCGGCTCCGCCAGATGCACGGTGACCAGCCGGAGCACGCCGTCCCCCGCCCCGCAACAGGTGTCAGGCACCTGTGCACCTGTGCACCTGCGCGCGCCCCGCCCCGTCCCCGCCCACCGTCACCTGGCCGGCCGGCCGGCCGCGGGGCTCTCGGGAACACTACCGGCCCACCCGCGCCCACCCGCGCCCACCCACGCCCACCCACAATGCGCTCAGCCCAGCGGCCCCACTGAGCCGGCGGGAGGGGGCCGGGCGTACCTGGCGCAGGCGCGCGCCCGCCGCCGTCCACCGCGCGCGCAGGGCCCTGTCCCGGAAGTCGCGCAGGCTCTCGCAGTCGGGCGCGCCACCTTCGGCCGGGAAGAGCGCGTCACGCACCGCCGCGCCGCCGCAGCCGCTCGCCGCCTCGCCCAAGTAGCGCTCCAGGCGCCCGCACAGCTCCTGCAGCGCCGCGTCCCCGGGGCCCGCGCGTGCCGGCCACACCAGCGCCCACAGCCCGAGCCCCAGGCCCCAGGCCCCGCCTGCGCGCTCGTCCAGCTCAGGCGGCAGCGGCGGGAAGCAGCGCTCCAGCGGCGGCCACAGAGCCGCCAGCTGCCGGTGCGCGCCGCGGAGCCCGGCGGCCGAGAGCAGGCCCGCCCAGCTCGGGGGGGACGCGGCCGGCTCGGGCTCCGGCCGGCTCCCCTCGCGCCGCCGCCGCTGCGCCGTGCGGTCGTGACAGGTCACCGCGAACTTGCCCTCCGCGTCGTTCCAGGCCACGAGGAAGCGCAGCTGGTGCCGCTCGGGCTCGGCGAAGAGGTCGTCGCGGACCGGCACCCAGCCCTCCAAGCTGTCGGGCTGCTCGTCGTCCATGGCCGGCGGCTCAGCGGCCCGAGGACCGGGCTCGTGCGCGCCTGGCCTCCCCGCATCCCCGGGGGCCGGGCGGCATTCTCGCAGGTCCGCGCTAGCGTCAGCGCCCGTCGGGCTCAGCCCCCCGGAGCCTCTGATTGGCTGCCAGCGCGAGGGCGGGTTCTCGGCAGCCAATGAGAAACTCAGAAGTTGTCTCGGGCGGGGCCCTGGACAGAGGTCCCCGTCGCAACCCCGCCCCGGAGCCCGGGAACTTCCACTCTTGCCTCACCATTTCCACCTTTGTACCTGCTCACGTAGGAAGAGTGTTCCTCACCTGAACGAGCTACCCTCTTAGCCGCCTGCGCTGAACTGCGAGCCTCTTGGGAACGGGGACCGGCCTGGGCGCCACAAGTCCCCGAGGGTTCCTGCGCCCGAGGACGGTGCAGACTTGCTGGACACCAAATGTTAAATCAAACGCAGGAGTTACTGGCTGAGGACCTCGAAGAGCCAGCCAGTGGGTAAAAGCCACACATTTGCCGTTACCGAGTCAGCAGGCTTTCGTGGGGTGTCAGCTGTGTGCAGGTTCGGGGGCGCACACAGATGTCTCGGTCCTTAGAGCATCCCAGCTCCCAGACCGCATGTGTGCGTGCAGTGCGTTCCTATCCTTCTTTTTACAGCCAACAAGACGGAGACCCGGCAAAGAACCGTGTCCTAACAGACACACAAAGGCTAATAAGACCACCTGGCCCCCCAAGACCTGTTGGAGATGGGGAAATCTCATCTGCACGTGGCGATGGGATGTGACTTGAAGGGAATAAGACAGCCGGGTCTGCGTCCGGGAAAGGCGCAGTGCGCGCCGCGGGAAACCGTGTAGGTGGGCTTCCTCCTGGGAGTGCACTGGGAGGGCTCAGGGGTGGGGTCCGGGGAAGGCAGGTGGGGGGAGAGGCCCTGGAACCCGCGAGAAGGAGCCCTTCTCTGAGGTTGGGCTCCTGAGGGTTTAGATTCAGGAACCAGGGGAAGAGCTTTTGAAGGTTTGGAGCTGGGAAATCCGGACATCAGATTCGCCCTTGCTGTCATACCCAAAGGAAGCAACCAGAAACCAGGGCCAGCCTGGAGCCATGGTTAGGGCATCTCTCCCGCGGAAGATGATCCCAGGGTATCTAGAAACTACTGTGGAATGTAGCTTGAAGTCTGAAGTTGCTTGTCTGAGCGCCCCCCCCCCACCCCGACCCCTGTGGAGCCTTGGACTCAGAACTGCTGCTCTTGGCAGTCCTCTTGGAGAGAACCTGTTAGTTGAAGGGATTTATTTTTCCCCAAACCATTTTTTAAATATATTATCTTAGCTAGTATGATTTACTGATAATTCTTTAAGTCTGTTTTGGTATCTTTTTGTATATTCTTTACAGTATGTCTTTTTACTGTATTTGTTTTATGTTATTTTATCCTTTCTAGTAGTCTTTCTAATTTATTTACTTTATCAAAATGACAGTAGCAGGGACACCTGGGTGGCTCAGTCAGTTAAGCTCTGCCTTCAGCTCTGGTCATGATATCAGGGTCCTGGGACGGGTGGGATTCCTTGCTCAGCAGGGAGCCTGATTCTCCTGCTTGTGTTCTCTCTCTCTCTGACAAATAAATAAATAAATAAAATCTTTTTACAAAAATGACACTAGCAGGCTTTCAAATTATAAAAGTCATTTCTATTTTTGTGTGAGGGAAGGATGTTTGTACATTCTTAGAAAAAAATAAGGGCAGGTACCCACCAAACCTAATAATTGTTGTTGCCAGCATGCACGCCTGCTTTATTTTCACTTTACGGTTCTTCTGTAATATTGCCCTTTTTCTAAGCCAAATATCATATCTTATTTTTCAGTAAAAATATTTTTAAAAATTAATAAAAGGTGTATATATAATTGTTATTAAAATAGGTGTAAAATATAAAGAAAAAAGTAAACTAACTCGGAAGAGTTAAACCTTGCTCTCATTTTGAGTGTACTATTATATACAATATCATATATTATTATATATCTATAGTACATATTATACTGTATAGTATATATTTGTTATTTGCAGTATGTTTATATATCTCTATCATATATCTACATATCATCTAATATGATTATGCTGTCATGATATATTGTGGGTATTTTCCACCTACAATATAGGCACCTACGTGATTATTAATACTTGCCAATATTGAGTTGACCATATAGTGATTTAACAAATTCTATATTGTCAGACATAGGTGAATCTCAATTTTCTGCGAGCATACATAAAGTGCTGGTGAACATTCTTGTGCACACATCTTTGTGTAACTTTTTTCTTTAATTTTTTTTACTTTTGATATTTTATTGTGCTTCTAGTATTTTTACGTTATAGATACCTGGCAGTAATGATATCTTTCAAATGACATTTTGACTGAGATTTTAAAAAGCAACAGATGTAAAATTCTGAGATCAATCACCATAAGCAGACTTTTCAAGGAAGCGGTCCAGAACCCTGTTCATGCTCTCAGGAGGGAAACTGGTGAAGCAGTTTCTCTGGGGAACACTGTTGGTGGGCTCTGGGGAGGACTGGAAGTCCCGTCTTCTATCCCCACACCCAGTGAGGGATCTTCCAAGGGACACTTTAGGAAGCTTGCTGTATCTTTCTGCAGGTGGCCTGAGGTGAGCAAATTGGCTGCTTTGATGGCAGAGTCCGAGGAAGTGGCAGATTGGGTCCAACTGCCTCCCAGAGTTTGCAGGGACCAAGGATGGGCCTGCCTCCCAAGATCCAGATGTGAGCCAGCAGGAAGACAGAGTCAGATCCTGCCTAAGAGAGCCAACTGCACAGGTAAGGAAACCTCATTTGAAAGATCTTGGAAGTGGTCCACCAGGGCCTATAAGGGGAATGCGAGGGACCCCCTGGATAGAGGGGTTCTCGGCCCGGTTGTGGGAGCTCAAGGGAAGGGTCTCCATGATGGGAACTCCAGAGATGTAAACAGCTCCCCAGGAGAGAGGGTGGAGACAAAGAGGAAAGGAGGACGCACAATAGGGAGCTCTAAGTGCCTGCCAGCCCAGAGAGCCTGAAGCTAGCACCCACTGCGGCATCAGCTCCGGTAGAGGCTGTCTTACCGTCTCGGCGCTTCTGCCCTGGTGTTCCAGCAGCAGCTCAGAGAGGAGGTGTGAGAAGAGGCCAACCTCATTCCTCCTTTCCCAGGGCACCCTTCCAGCTAAAGAGGCCCAGACTGGGTAGGGGAGAAGACTTTGACACTGGCTAAGTGAAGTTTGACTTTTGCATTAGTATTCTGGACGGTGCGCTCAGTTACTGAATGGAGACTATGCCTTCAAATAACCCTAGGACTGAATGTCACCTAAGACAGTGCAGAAAGTCACGGGTCTGCAGGGTTGTTTTTTGTTTGTTTGTTTTTTACTGGAGAGGGGAATGATTTCCACTGTGAGTACATGTGAAAGGAATGGTGGAAGAAAAAAAAAGTGAAATTGCATTTGATTCCCTTCAGGGTTGTACTTGTTCAAAACACTTCGGGAAAAGTCCATCAGGCCAGGTGGAAGCCACCTGGCTTGAGGACTCTCAGAGGCCCTCCCTCCCTCTCTGCATGGCTCGCAGCTGCCCCCCTACCCTCTGCACACGACCAGCCATCCCAGCAGTTCAGGGGAGCTACAGACCTCACATCCTCCCAGTAAATGAAGGAACTCAGGGGACAGCATGTGACCCCCTCCTAGTGACACTTGAGCGCTAAGAAGTGCAAGACAGCCATGGCGGGTCTATATTTGGGCTCTCACACACGACTGTTGCTATTTGCAGTGGGAGCTGGCTCATGTTACCGTCACCTGTCACCTTCCATGCCCCAGTTACAGCCCTTGTTGTAAGCCAGGCAGGGGCAGGCTACAGGGCTCAAACAGGTGACCTGGAGGGAAATCCTTCTCCAGAGGCCTTGGAGGTCAAAGAAGAACCTGTGGACCCTGAAATCAGCAGGCAAGTTTCTGGGTGATCCTATTCTTCTAATGCAAAGGGTATTACTAGGAAGTCAGTTACTTAATGGTGCAATGTTAACGCAATATTGTTCCTTTAGGGAAAGATGTATCATCCTAAATTGCGGATGTGTAAATGGCAGTCAACAGTGGGAATGTTTTCTGTGCCCTCCTGGAGCATGGGCTCGCCTTGACTGAATGCGGTGTTGGTATGGGGTGTGAAAGCCTCTGTGGCTGCTGATTCCTGCAGTGTGCCCTTAAAGTATTTTTAGTGCAGGAGTCCATTTGCTAGAACACTTTGGAACCTTGTGTAGTGTTCTCCCCCACTGCGGTGGCAGGCTGATAAACACATTTTATTTTAATCGGCGTGTGTGTCTTGACAAATCATAATTTCGTATTTTGATGGAAATATGGAGAAACCGAAGGACAATCATTTTTCACCTGTTACACATACTCCTCTCCCCACAGAAAGTTTTCAGGTTTGGACTCTGCCTGTGAGAGCTGATTTGAACTATTCCTGTCACTGTACAGCCAACGCTTGATAGCAAGTTTCCTTAGGTGTGGCTCGAGAATTGCAAAGGGCTACCTGGGTGGGCTTCTGAAATTACAGGCAAAATTCTGTTGGTGCCCAGGGGCCCACTTTTAGGGAGAGAATTCACAGCTTTCAATAGATTCCCAGAGGCGCTCGTGCCCCACAGAAGGTTAAAAATCCTTTTTATGGTGGGGGGGGGGCTTTTCTAATTAATGCACTGGGACACACCTCCCATATAAGACTTTGGCAAAAGCCTATTTTGTTGTTTTGTTTTTTACTGCAGTTCTATGGCCCAGAGTAGAAGCTCTCTAGCTACTATATATTTTTTTAAGATTTTATTTATTTATTTGTCAGAGAGAGAGAGGGAGAGAGAGCAAGCACAGGCAGACAGAATGGCAGGCAGAGGCAGAGGGAGAAGCAGGCTCCCCGATGAGCAAGGAGCCCGATGTGGGACTCGATCCCAGGACGCTGGGATCATGACCTGAGCCGAAGGCAGCTGCTTAACCAACTGAGCCACCCAGGCGTCCCATAGCTACTATATTTTTTATAGGCTGTGACCTATTTATTTCTCTAAGGCTCAGGTTCATCACTTATAAAATGACAAATTCTTTTTTTTTTTAAGATTTTATGTATTTATTTGACAGAGAGATCACAAGTAGGCAGAGAGGCAGGAAGAGAGAGAGGAGGAAGCAGGCTCCCTGCTGAGCAGAGAGCCTGATGCGCGGCTCGATCCCAGGACCCTGGGATCATGACCCGAGCCGAAGGCAGAGGGTTTAACCCACTGAGCCACCCAGGCGCCCCTAAAATGACAAATTCCTGTTAATCGTCCTTTCTCCCCCAATTCTGAATGTTTTGGTAAGGCGCTGAAGGAGTCCAGACGCTGAGGCGGAACGGGCACAGCCGCTCTGCGGGGGTGTTGCAAACCTCCCATCTCGGTGCTGAGTACCCAGACCAGTTTGTTTGTCTGTCCAAAGGGGAAACACAGGCCTGGAAGAATCTGTGCTCGTTAGATTTGTTCTTGATGTTTCCCAGCCTTCTCGATTGCGTAACAGTTCCATTTGGTGTTTCACTCTCCAGCTTCCGGTTGAAAGAATTGGTCAGCATGATTTATTGGTAATATGGAATTCTGGTTTTCTCCCTTTTGGTAGCGCACAGAGGCATGTTCTTTTTAGCAGGCTGCTCTGGGGTCTGGAGGTGATATGGTTTCGTGGAGAGCTGGGTCCGGGGCCAGCTCTTCACCTGCTGTCCAAGGGCCCCTCCGTCCCTAGAGTTCCACACGTCTGCCCGGGCTCCCCAGAAGCTCTTGCCGTGAGGACCGGTGACCTCCCAGCCGACGTCTGGGCCTGGATGTGAGGCTCTTCTGTCCTGGTGCCTCCTCCAGACTTCAGTTGTTTTCAGGGGAGACAATGACCCCACAGCGGCCACAGGTGGCTCCTCCTCGCGATGGCCACTGTGAGTCTTCACGTTCTGACCCTGGTCCTCACCCTTCATGAGCGCCCCCAGAAGGAGAGGCTGAGGTCCAGGCAGTGACTCTAGCAGCCACCCCCACACTCATGACAGCACCGGATGCAGCCTGAGGACTCACGTTGAGCCACGTGCTGTGCTAAGCATTTTACACAATGTTCTATTATTGCACCCAAAAGAATTTCACATACATCGTGTTATTTCATCTAAATGCCAACTTCATGAGGCAGGAACGAGCAAAAACCCATCACGTGGGCTCATGAAAGCAAGGCCCAGAGAGGTGGTTTTTCCCAAGGCTACGGCACTAAGAAGTAGCCGAAACCAAAGGCAAACAGAGCTTTCTCATCCAGAAGGCAGTGGCCTCAGCGGTGAAGGTGGTGTGTGGGGGCGGTTATCTGGAGATTGAGTTGACAGACCCGGAATCAGCACTCATCGGGCATCAGTCACATGGGTGATGGCAAGAATGAGCTCCCGGCTCTGGTTTGGGTGCGAGGGAGGGGGTGTTGTGCTATGTATCAGTGGATGTTAGGAACGTGGTGGCCCCCTTGAGGATGTGACGGGTGTCGGCCGTGGTGGAGGGGCGGTGAGGTGGGGAAGGGTGGGCCGCTCTCAGCAGGAAGAGCAGCCCCAGCCAAGACCTCAGGCAAGACTTGGCAAGGGACAAGGAGCCCTGGGCTCCGTCAGAAAGAACAGTGGTGTCGGCTGGAGAAGGTGACGCTGTTTGGGGGGTTGGCGCTAGGGCAGAAGGGGTGGGTGCCCGGTGTCCACGGGAGTTAATGGAGACTTGCCAGTCATGGAGCCCTCAGAGTGCAGGGCCTGTGGCCAGCAGACGGTAGAAACAAGATGGTTTTAAGAAATCTCTGCCTGCAAGGTGTCAGGTGTGGCCCCGAGCGCTGGGGCCGTATTAGCTTATTTAATCCTCACGACAAGTCCTGTCCACTTACAGACCAAGAAGCTGGCTCGGGGCCGCTGAGACAGGTGGTCAAGGTCATGCAGTGAGAACGTCACTGACCCCAGAAGCCAGGCTCCTCTTTGCCCCACGCTGCTTCCGGCAAAGCCGTCCCCGCCTTCGAGCGCTTCCCCTGCTGGGAGCTGGGCTGGGCCTTCCCTGGTTCCGTGTCTGCGTTAGTGAGGCTGCGGGTCAGACCCCCCAGACCTCAGTGTCCTGCAGCAGCAACAGACGTTCCCCATGTTTCCGCCGCTTTGCTGAGACACCCTTGACATCCGACACTGGGCGGGTGTGAGGGCTACCCTGGGATGGTGTGACACACGGCCACACCGTGAGACCGTGACCCTGACAAGGTCGTTCACCGTAGGGTCCCTCACTCACATCATCACCTTTTATGGCCTGCGGTGAGAACACTGAGTGTACAGTGCGGCCTCGTTAACCACCGTCGCCGCGCTGACCTCTTACTCATCTTGTCACTGTCGGTCTGTACCCCTCGACCAGCATCTCCCTGTGTCCCCCCTCGCCAGCCGCTCAGCCACCGTTCCAGCCTCTGTTCCCGTGAGCTCAGCTTGCTAGAATTCCACGTCTGTGAGGGAGACCATATAGCCTCGGTCCTTCTCTGCTGACTCGTCTCACTTAGCGTAACGTCCTCCAAGTCCACCAGGTTGTTGGAAACGGCAGGACTTCCCTCCTCCTTTCTTTCTTTCTTTTTTTTTCCCTAAAGATTTTATTTCTTTATTGAGGGAGAGAGAATGACAGAGCGGGAGCGTGAGAAGTGAGATATCAGAGGGAGAAGCAGACTCCCCGCTGAGCGGGGAACCCGATGGGGGCCTCGATCCTGGGACTCCAGGATCATGACCTGAGCCAAAGGCAGTCACCTAACCAATTGAGCCACCCAGGCGCCCCAGGACTTCCT